TCTGTGTTGCTACTATGTTTAAAATGCTTGGTGCCCCAAGTAAGATGCCTCTCTCCATTTCAGGAGTTCAGTAGGATGAGTGGTTATGCTAACTCCAGTGTGGGAGGATTTTTAAGTGGAGCAGTATTGAAAATATTGAACTAAATGGCATTACAAGCTTTTCTTGGGAGTTTATCAATTATACCCATCACCCAACATCCAGGCTGTTGGTCCAGGCTTATGCATAATGGGAAAAAGCACAACAAAAGTCTTAAAGCAAGGACTGGATGATTTTAAGATCCTTTTCTTCAAAACTCAGCCTTTTGGCCAGAATTAGAGAATTTTTTTCTGTTTCATTCTCCTATATGTTGCTTTCCAATGAATAGGGACCTTCTGACTTTCCTGAGGTGTTCCAGAAAAGAAATGCTGTGTGAGACTATTGAACTGCTTTTACAATTCTGTTGTACTTACACAGAAACAACAGGGACACAGAATTAACTCTCTGAACTCCTTTGGGATTACAATTTACATTTCTCTACCTTGCAAATGGTTGGAAGTTCCCAGTGCTGGCTTGACCAGATCACACAGACTCTGACCTCAGCAGCCCACCAAAGCAGTTCCCTGTAAATTTGTAAACTCATTAAACAAGCCCTAAACGCATGTGCTTATTCCAGCCTGACTGCTGCTATCTTTAGCCTCAAGGCTTCAATTAAAATACAATTCTTAAAAGCCTTTTTTTTAGGATAAATTCAACAAAACCAGCTCAGATGAGCTGTAATCCTCACTGGAGGCAGATCCCAACTCTGCTCGCCCTGATCTGGACACAGCCGTGGACTCAGCTGTAGCCAGGTGGTAGGTCAGGCCTGTTTCAGCTAAATCAATTATTATTTAAATAATAAATGAGGCTGAAGACAGTTCCATTAGCCCCTGGGTAGGCTCTCTGAAGTTCAAAGCCAAGTATTCCTGCAGACTAAGAGACCAAAATATAAGACAGGCAGACATTGGCATGGCTGGGTAATGGGCTAACCTCTGACCAGATGCTTCAGGGAAGAAATGTAATATTCCATCATTTTATAGCCAACAGAGATTTATTTTACCATCAAAAAAATGGAGAGCTTCCCATCTCCTGGAGGATGGAGTACTTCTGAAGAGCCAGGAGTGAAGTATGATACACACAGAAGCCAGTGTCAGCCCTCCACCAGAGATCTGTGGGCTTACCAGTATTTTCAAAGCTCATTCTTCTTTGTTTCTTTCTTTTTTTTTTTTTCATCTCAGTTCTTTAGAACTGGGATAGAATATAGATCAAAAGATTGGAAAGGGAGGTTCATGCTAATGTTGGGTTTGGGGTCTTTAATTTAAAAAAGACACCTCACCCAACAGTTGAACCTTTAAGATATGGACAGGAGTCATTTGGGGGGATAGTAAATACAGAAGTTTAGGTAATTTAATGGAAAACAAAATAATATGAAGGAAAAAAAAAAAAGATGAAGTGGCAGGTAGAATTCTATAATAAATACTTGGAAATGGGTAAAGACAAATGGCTGTGAATTCAATGTTTCAGCCTTCAAAAGGATGGCAAGATAGCTGCCAGAAAATAGGGATAGTTAAAGGTGAGACACCAAACAGAGGGTGATGAATCTGTGTCTCCACTTGACTGTGGTTTTGTGATCCACCTGAAAGGATCAATAGCAGCAGAGTCCCACACAGTTCTGTACAACTTTAGCATTTACAGATAAAACCAGGTGTCACTTGGCAAAGTTCTGAAAGCAATATAATGAGATCAGTTACTGTCAGGTAAATTAAATTCTGTGGGGACAACCCTATAAGGTCTTTACTTCCCTCCTTGAAAATGGAGAAAATGTTACTTCTGATGAGCAGTGTGTGAGCTCAACAGAAACATGAAGACGACAGGCAGCAGAGGCAAGGAGATGGAAAGAAAACAATGCAAGGAGATGAAAAGAAGACAAATAGGATTGCTTTCATTTCAAAAAAACCCAAACAAAATACATGGCTGGCAATGTAAAATGAAAACATCATAGAAAACAGAAGGCACAACACTGATCTTGTTTTGCAGTACAAAAATAAGGGAACAACAACTGAAACTAAGGCAACCAATGTAAAAATGGTCATCTTTTTCCAAGATAAAACATAAGTGACCTGCAGGAATCGCAGGCTTGAGCTAAAACTCCAAGCTTAAAACAGTTTAAAAAGGACTACAGGTATCTAGTTATGCTGCTGAGAATAACAGTAACATATAAACCCAGTAAACATTCTTGTTTGCCAGGCAAACCAACAATTAATCTGCCTATATTTAAAAAGTAAATATCTTCCTGTGGATAGATTGTTCCATTTGCCCATTTTTAGCCCCTTCACATCTTTTTCTGAAGCATCTGGTCCACGGTATTCTTAGATTTATGATATCTAATTAGCTGGAGTATTGATCCAAAAATGCCTTTGCTTCTAAAAACACTTCCAAAGGTACAGAGACACTTTAGAGTCTCACATTTACAGTTGGCAGTTCAGATTTCAGGCCTACAGTGACACCTTCTTTCCCCCTACCCTGAATCTATCCCCAAAGACACACGCAGACCAACCCCAGCCTCTTTTCTGGGGCAGCAGGCACCAATACCTGGAATTTATTGTGCACTGTTTAATGGAAAGGGAAATGGAAAAGTCTCTTTAAATTTGCTTTCAGCAAGCATTTTCCCTTGAAATGTCATCAAAGTCATTCCAGATTCTTTTATATATTTCTTTGTTCTAGAGTTGATTTAGTTAAGGTGACACGCAGACCAACCCCAGCCTCTTTGCTGGGGCAGCAGGTACCAATACCTGGAATTTATTGTGCACTGTTTAATGGAAAGGGAGATGGAAAAGTCTCTTCAATTTGATTTCAGGGAGCATTTTCCCTTGAAATTTCATCAAAGTCATTCCATATTCTCTTATATATTTCTTTGTTCTAGAGTTGATTTAGTTAAGGTGGCTCAGGATTATTTCTTAGCCATTTAATTATGGGTATTTTAGGAGTAATAAGCTCCAAGAAATGAACCAGCTGTTCTCACATCCAGCCTCTCTGGCAGGTTGCTGACCAAAAGTGTAGCATAAACCAGAGGCAAGTGGAACTCCTTTGGAAACGATGGTTTCATAGGGGTCATCAGAAAGTTCCCTAGGTTCCTCCCTTCCACCCCCCCTCCCCAAATCTAAGCCAGTGGATGGGAATATTTGTAGGAACAACAAAACACCAGTTCTCATCTCCTTGGAGCAGACAAGGTTCTGGACAGCCTGGCATGTTTGTGGGGAAGGGGGCTCAGTGCCCACGCTGGGGGCTTGGTAGGAAGCACGTGAGCTGTTGTTTAAGACCTGCAGGGTGGCCACCTGGAATGAAAACACTGCTGCTGATACTCATAAGGCTATACAGTTTTTACACAAATAAAATAGTGACTTTATAGCTGTCCCTGGGAAAGAGATTATATAGTGGATATATGGGACTGTTCCATAATTAATCCCGGGTTTCAGCCAAACATGCTTACAAAGTTGTAAAAAAGAAAAAAAAAAAAGAAAAATCACATTTTCTGAGCCAATACCCTTTGAGTTCAGTGATCACAGGATGAAGACTGTATTAATACTCAGGTCTGCCCGTGATAAGGCAGAGGAAGAGCTGCCTGGGAGCTCACTTCTGCTCCTCTCCTCTTTGCAAGGCCCATTAAGATAAAACTCAGTAACAAAACAAAGCAGCTCATTCTGTTACAGGAGTAAACTTCACCATTAGTCATCTCATCTTTTGTGGTCTAATTGTAGGTAAAATTGCACAAACATGATGTCTAGAACTTCCAGTACATCTTGTTCTCATGGGCCTATAGTACAGACTGAAAAAGATCAAGGTATTTCTCTTAGTGACCAAATGAGGTTGGGAATCTATCAATTGATCATGACTCCATCCTAAAACTGATCAGTTTAAACTGAGCACAGGTCAATACAAACAACAGTCAATAGTTTCAGATGGAAAAAAAATCTCATCAGTTCCATGTCTAATGCTATAGCACATACTGTACAAATTGTTCTGCCACTGTCACTGGCAAATAAAATGGGACAAAAAGAGAAAACAGGTAAAGTAGCCTTGGAAAGATTGGTTCCTTCACGCTGGCACAGAGAAGCTGCCACGGCCCCTGGCAGAGCTGGGGATGCAGGGCTACCAGTCACATCAGTCTGGCACTTTGGAGAGGGTTTAAAAAGAAAAGAAAAGAGTATTTTACTAGTGCTTATTAAGATATAGCCTGGTCTGAGTTCCCAGTTTTCAGAATGAATAAAGTGTCTGCTGGCATCAATTAATGATCCACCTTTGTAATCATCTTCTGATGTGTTGACTAGCACTAGCACTGATGTGTTTGTTTTATTTTAAAGAAATAGGTCTTGAATTAATAATCTGCTAAAGATTCTCATTCTAATACATTTTACAAGAAAGTGCTTTTCCAGACAAATGTGATAAAATGGTTTTCTATGCTTTCTCTTAATTAGCTGCCTTTTTTCCTTATCATAATATGAAGACTTCATGATATTTTGTGGAAGATTATATTCATTTCTGAATTCTGAAGAGAGGTTTTCTTTATATTCTGCTGTGGGGGTTAGTTATACTTTGTATAATCACCAGGTGATGTTACATATCAACCCCACATCTCGACAAGTTTAAAAAGTGGTCAATTTACTGTGTGACTTTTTAAAAGTCTTTAGACCTCACTTCCTTGAAAGAGGTTCTGACAAGTGACCCATTGTCTACAGTAAAAATTTATCCATGTGGTACTTCAGTTTCTTTGTTGATCAGTTATTTCAAGGAAGGATTCTTTCTCATGAAGCAAAGTATGGGTGTTCTGATGCTACAACTCAGAACGGACTCAATGGCATGTCCATCAATACATGCAAGTCTGGACCTGTTCAAGACAAACCAGTGTGTCCCTGGTACCATTTACACCAGGCTGGCAGAGGGCTTATGGTCAAGGCAGGACGTTCTCCCTCTTACAAGGAATTCATAATTCTCCTCTTGCCACTACCTAATGTTGGGTTTTACTTCCTTTTCATCTGCTTCGTCCTCGCTGTCATCAACTTGCTGAATGACCAAGTCAGTTGACCCATCCTCCACAATCTCCACGTCAGATTTGTTGTCTTCCCCATAGTGCCACCTGGAATCTTTATCTCCATCCTGTGGGAACTCCAGGGGTGCTTCAGCCTCCAAGTCAATGCGAATACTGTCTATGCCAGCCTCAGCCAAGCACTCGTTGCAGAGTCTGTAACGTCTGGTCCCCTCCTGGACCACTTGTCCCGTGAGCTCAGTCACGTGGCGTTTGCATTTCCTGCAGATAGGTTTGCAAGCCTGATGGATCTGGGAAAATCAAAATGAACAGATTTGATAACGTCCCCGCGGAGTCGCGTAGCTGAAGCTGACAAAAAGTAGGGCTGGAGCAGCATCAAATGCCAGCACTAAGCTGGCATCAAACATGAGAAACGAAACCCCCACGAGGGCTGTAGCTGCCCACCTGAGCTCTACCACAGCCCTTCCCAAAGACATTCCCCCATTCCAGCTCCACTTCCACAAAACCACAGCGATTTTCTCCCACCTCTTCTCTCCCGGAGTCAAAGGCATCAACCAGACACCCTCGTGCCCTGCTCTGAGGGACAGATCTACAGGTCAAACAGCTCATGCAGTGACTAAAAATACCTACTGTTCGGAAATGGCTACTTAGGTGATCTAGCCTGCTAAAGCGTTTCCCACATGCCTCGCAGGGGTACGGCCGCTCCCCCGTGTGGCACCGCAGGTGCCGCTTCAGGTCCGCCTTCCTTTTCACCACGTGAGTGCAGAAGGGGCACTTGAACCTCATCCTGGGCAGATCATCTGTTAGAAAACAAGGGGATTGGGAAAAGAAATGAAAGGAATCGTACAATAGAATCCTTTAGGTTGGAAAAGATCTTGAAGGTCATCCAGTCCAATTGTCAAGCCAACACTACGTCCTCTGCTAAAACAGATCAGAATCTGTCAGGGTTGGAAGGGACCACAAGGATCCCCCAGTTCCAACCCCTCTGCCATGAGCAGG